AAAAAAACCTTGCTACGTGTACTGCATTAAGCTGAGACTTGTTATAGCACTTGCGTATCATTGCTCTTTTGTTGATTTTGATGACTTCCATTGTCCTCATTTGTAAGTCGCTTTGGATAAAAGCGTCAGCTAAATGACTGTAATGTAAATGTAATCATTGCTTAAAATTAGTAAATGAAATCATGTTATTTTATACTATACACATAGCACTTAAAATACTTTGATAAACATATTCCATTTTATTTCACTTAATTTAAGCTACACTTTCTCAGTAAGACCTACAAAGCCCTGCGTCTGACATCCCACCACAGTACGTGATTTAATTGATTGCATTTTAGAGCTCCGCAAATCCGTTTACTTCACAGTTTAGCTATAATATTATTAAAACTTTACTGGGTCTTCCATATGTGATTGCAAAGTCTGTCATGCAACTTCAGTCCTATTAGAACATTACACTCTAAAAAATGCTGGGTTAAATACAAGCCTAAAACAAAAGATGTCCTTAATTTGTTGAACAAAAACTGCATGAAACTCACACACAAGAGTGAGTGTTCAACTCCTTCAGATGCTGACACGCTCCATGAATGCAGAAATCTTTGTATTCCTCCAGGCAGGGGTTCTTCTTTCTTCCCTTGCCTTTTCCTTTGGCCTTCCTTTTTCCTTTTTTTGTCTTCTTCTCAGTAGTGGGAATCGCTGACGGATGTTTGGGTTTGGTGGAAAATGCCACTGTTGAGCGAGAAAGAGCGATGATGTCAGTCCATGATGATCTAATATCGTACAATAGTCTAATACACTCAGTTCATATATTCACATGTTCGCTAGCATTTCCTGTGGAAGTATACAACACTTAATTTTATTATTTTTAATAATATAATTATAATAAATTGGTTTAACGCAAATAGTCATTCCACCTAGTGTGTAATGTGCACTTTTTATGATTACAATTTTTATTTTAAAAAGTATATTATAAAGCATATATTATATTTATTATACCATGTTATATTTTAGGAGTACTTGTTGTGTAAAATGTGTGTTTATTCAGAAGACATCTGTATCAGCACTGGACATTAAAGCACTGGTTGACCACTTTTACAAATTGCATTAAGAGAAATGAAGTAAGTCTACCTCTTGGTTGGTTTGAGTCATAATCCACAGAGAGATCATAATCTTCATCATAATCATGCTCTTCATACACATTCGTCCCTCTGTCCACCTGCTGCCCTGTCGTGTTTGTTTTCTCTAGGGTGTGAAAGAGGCTGACCACTGTTGTTCTGGGTTTGGCACTCTCATACCTGTCCACAGAGGCGCCACTGCACACCTTGAGTAACACTGGAACAGAACAAGACCCTTTATAGATATATAAAACGCATATTTTGTGTATCTTGCATACAGTCAATATGTAAAAGAAAGAAAAAAAAAACAATGGCAAAACTGAAAGCTGACGGTGATTATAGATACGCGTCGCGTGTAGTGTAAAATTTTCAATTAAACCACGGAATAAACAGGGAATAAAATGAGTAATCTGTCAAAACTAGTTAGAACAGCAACTAATAGCAGCTAATTATATATTTTTTAAATGAAAAATGTCGCTTGAAAGAACCTCGTGTAACAAAGTGCCACATACTGGGCAGGTCCCATGCAAGTTAAGTTATTAAGAAGCCATTGTTTTAAACACTTACCGAGACAATGGACGAGAAAGATCGCAATTCGTAACGTCTTCATATTCCTTTTAGTATAATCCGAGATATTACAGGATCAGAAGTTGATGCCTCCAGCACCGTCCGCGATCTGGACGCAATGTGCGTGCGGGGGACTGTGTCAAAAGTCTCGTGCGGAGAGCGCGCGCCGGTGCAGTTATATAGACACACACACTTCCCTTTTATGAATCACTGCTGGCCACACCTAATCAATCATCAGAAGCACGTAAGACAAAGGTAATATATTGTAATATAGTCCATTTCGAGGGGTACTCTAAAAAATGCTGGGTTAAATACAACCCAGCGCTGGGTAAAATATGGACAAACCCAGCGATTGGGTTGTTTTCAACCAACAGTTGTGTTAAATGTTTAACCCAATCTTCTGGGCAGTAACCCAATCGCTGAGTCAAAACAACCCAATCATTGGGTTTGTCCATATTTTACCCAGCGCTGGGTTGTATTTAACCCAGCATTTTTTAGAGTGTATTTGATTGTATCTATCAATAATAAATATCTACACAATAAAAACACATTTACAAAACTTACAAAATTGTTACATATCAAAATAAATAACCATTATAAATAAATAATTACAAGTGCTTTGTGGTGTTTCCGACAGTACTATACACTCTAAAAAATGCTGGGTTGTTTCAACCCAACGTTGGGTCAAATATGGACTAACCCAACTTTTGGGTTAAAACTTTAATTAAAAAAGTTTATTTTCTCTAGGGTGTGAAAGAGGTTGACCACTGTGGTTCTGGGTTTGGCACTCTCATACCTGTCCACAGAGGCGCCACTGCACACCTTGAGTAACACTGGAACAGAACAAGACCCTTTATAGATATATAAAACGCATATTTTGTGTATCTTGAATACAGTCAATATGTAAAAGAAAGAAAAAAAAACAATGGCAAAACTGAAAGCTGACGGTGATTATAGATACGCGTCGCGTGTAGTGTAAAATTTTCAATTAAACCACGGAATAAACAGGGAATAAAATGAGTAATCTGTCAAAACTAGTTAGAACAGCAACTAATAGCAGCTAATTATATATTTTTTAAATGAAAAATGTCGCTTGAAAGAACCTCGTGTAACAAAGTGCCACATACTGGGCAGGTCCCATGCAAGTTAAGTTATTAAGAAGCCATTGTTTTAAACACTTACCGAGACAATGGACGAGAAAGATCGCAATTCGTAACGTCTTCATATTCCTTTTAGTATAATCCGAGATATTACAGGATCAGAAGTTGATGCCTCCAGCACCGTCCGCGATCTGGACGCAATGTGCGTGCGGGGGACTGTGTCAAAAGTCTCGTGCGGAGAGCGCGCGCCGGTGCAGTTATATAGACACACACACTTCCCTTTTATGAATCACTGCTGGCCACACCTAATCAATCATCAGAAGCACGTAAGACAAAGGTAATATATTGTAATATAGTCCATTTCGAGGGCCAATGTTGGGTTGAAACAACCCAGCATTTTTTAGAGTGTAGATTTAAACTGATGGGAGAAACCAGAAATACCCTTTTTAGAATAAATAAATAAGCAACGAACAAAAAAGCAACTTGATTAAAGTTGCCACACATTCATCCGGTTCAGTCCTCTCTGTATGTTCTCCACAAGGAGAATAGGTTGAAAAGGACATTTTACTGCACATGGAAGCAGCATTCAAAACATCCTTCATGCCAGTGTAGACAGCCGCTATGACTGCAGGACAATTTGAACGGGGGCAAGGATTTTTGAAAAGTATTTGTGCCCCTGCTTACTCCTCAGTCCTCAGTGCTATCTATCCATGGGTCACATGTCCTTCTGGGTTTCTTCTTCCTGTAAAACAGTAATAAATATGATTTTACATTCATTTTAATATTTAACAAATAAAACCTGGCCATTCATTGAGAACTATTTACCTTTCTTCCCTTATCACTTCTGCACTGACGTTGCTTCAAGTTTGACCTTTTCTTCACTTTCTACATCAGCGTCATCTTTTTTGTGGTACCTGTAAGAAAACCATGCTGAATATCTAAGGAATTTTGTAAAACAACAATGGTTTAATGATTAAGAATAATATAATGCTGATTCATGGTAACCTACCTTAGTGCCAGCAGAATAGCGATAACTGCGAGACACATGAGGGACAGGACCACCGCTATGACCGCTAGAGCTGTGGTCCGGCTGTAACGCTGTTTCTCCTTACTAACCGGTAGCGTGAATATATGGCATCTCTCTCCTGAGTATCCTGCTTTACATCTGTAAGAAACACCAGCCAAAAGATCAAAATGAGTTCAAGTGCACAACAGGAGAATCATATCAAGAGACAAGATAAATTCATTTAGATTAAACTCCTATTCTGTAAAAGCAATAATTCTATTATCTCTAACCGTTTTACTTTTTTTGCTCTAATTTTGTGCTATTCTGATCTGCTATTCAAACTGTATATTGTAATATTCCTGATATATTGGGGGCCTTTATATTGCCAAAAGGACACAAATGAATTCTTAATAATTTTGGAGTTATTAGAAACCAAAAGACTTAACTCTGAACATACTAAGCCTGTTGGCTTTTGTTTTGGCCCTCCTATAAAGTTGGTGAAAAGTCACTTACGCCCTTCTGGTTCTCACCCCTCGATTTGGTCCAGACTGATTGATAATTTGACACGACACTAATTTAAGGAGACAGCAGTGTCACAGGTTTATTACTGTCCAGTAAATAATAATAAATAAATTTTAAGATGGTAATTAGTTTCTAGGTCTAAACTGGTTGAATAGCTACTGTGTTCAAAAAACAGATTAAACTTCAAACTGGTATGACCAACTCATAGCTGGTTTAGTGATTATCCACAAGTTTGGTGATTTTTTTCAGCAGTGAACAAATATATAGCATCTGTAAAAGATTTGGTCAAGATGCTCTCAAAATGTTATAATTATAGTATTTTGTCTAACTTTTGTATGCCTATGGGGGGAAAAAAGAACATTAAAGACCTTAAAAGAAAATTTTATACACCAAGTTAAAACTGTCATCGATTACTGAAGTATATGCATTTGCATGCATTTCAGATTAATAAACGTGATTATCCGCAGTTGGATCACTGGCACCACCTTGTGCTAAAAAATATATTATCACAATATGCAGTGATTACGCTTACACAAAAAAAGACAAAACAATGTGCATAAAGCAGAGACAATACATTTGTGAAGGTTTATTAACCATGAGAAATCAAAGACAAACCAACAGAGGGGACTGCAACATCTACAATAATGAAAATTAAAATATGCATCTTGTGAAGCAGCCGGACAAGAAAACAAAAACATTTTCCAGTTCATTTAAAAAAAAATCAGTTTCAACAAAGTTCTTTCCGCATTAGAAAAAGTGGAGATGCAGCACCTCGTGCCATGCGAGGCCAGTGTTCTACAGTCTCTGAACGATATATCTGGAGGATATTTACAAGCATGACTAGTGGGGTAGAGGACAATCGCCATGACTTGAGCTCAACGGCTGACCATTCACCTCAGGAATTGCAGGAAATATAATACTGATTCCAACGCTGAGGTTCAGAGTACAGGTGGGCAAGGAGTGAATCTGATTCTTCCCATAGTCATAGTCACAAAAAACAAAACCCAGAAGGCCTCAGCAAAATCGAGACGACCCAACACTCAAATAAATTCCTTCAGGAGCATCTACATGTCCCAGCCCCCTCCCATGCCATTCATGCCGACTGATCCGCGGCTGCTGCCATAATAACTGTTGTTCATTCCACCCTGGCTATCTGTAGACGTACAGAAATAAATGTGTGAGAACCAGAAAAGCAAGAAAAATGAGAAAATATACAATAAAAATTGTGCAAAGTTAAAACGCACTGTAGTCACTGTAGCCTCCCATGCTGGACTGGTTGCTGTATCCTCCAGTGTAGCCTCCACCCATCTGCTGCCCTCCATGTCCGTAAGACGACTGGTTTCCTAAGAGAA